GGTCTTTGAACTTGCTATAAGATTGACTACTCTAGGAAAAGTAAATTCTCCAACACAGTGCCCCCCTACCTTGCACATCATAGCACTCTCCTCTTCCGGAAGCATCTAATAGTGTCTGTTGGTGCTGGCCCAGCTCTTCCACCCCTCCCCTTCCTACATAACCTTCTATGCAGCTCCTTGGGCAGGAGTGTCTCCGAGTCTGCTGAGGCTGATGGCATCACATTCAAGATGGCAGCCAGCAGCAATACCTGGGCTTTTGGATGTCTACATAAAGGAGTCTTATACAGTTAAACAACATGCAAAAGCCACCTGACTAACCTTTACTGGAAGATCAGCTAGAAAAGGGATAAGGAGAAAACAAATGCCTCAAATACTCACCTAAAGCACCTGCTCACCCAACACTCCCAGTTAGTCGGTGTAGTAGCCAGAGGGCCGACGTCTTCAGAAGAAGACTGGCAATGGCAGCCATTGGGATCTCTCAGGAAAGGTTTGATTCTTACAACTTGATATCAGATGTGCGGTTCATCACTAAAGTGGAACTTCGGTCTCATTCACGCCTGTGCCTTTTGTAAATGCTTGCAAAAATCACATTCTAAATACGAGTTTTGCATTTGCGGTGCCATTCATTGTTAATGGCATCCAAATGCAGCAAGCCAACATGCATTTTTCCATGTGCAAAGTGCAAGTGTCCAATCCAAACGCACATGTTCCTGCGTTAGAAATGGCCTGATGAAGGGGTCCTGTGAGACTCCGAAACATTACATTTATGTAACTATGTGATCATTCATTAAAACTTTTGGACCCGAATTGGTGATCCTCAGTGTGCTGGTGACATCTCCCTTTCCATATGCAAAAACGTGAAAGGTTCAATGTAGCAAAAAGCTACATGAGCTACTCTGCCACATTTGCCGTGCGTAGGCCAGGCCATTGACATTAATGGGCTTCCCTACTGCGTGACAGGCAAAAAAACTGTGCATTTGAAAAGTGCTAGGTGTGAATGGGGCCTAAATTAACCATTAGCCGCCCGGCCAGTGGCCGTTTGGCGGCTTCAGATGTGTATCTGCATTCCGGGTGCACGCCATTTGGCGTGCTCCCGCATATGCGCCGTTTGCGCTAGTGCAGAGCGGCGCAGCAGTGCGATCTGTCACCGGGCGTGCACCTCGGACACGGCTGATGACAGATCCAAGTACCGGCTCCCGTTGCTGGTACCATGTGACCTGCTGTGACCAATCACAGCAGGTCACATGACAGTTGTATACAATGGATGGCTTCATTCATGATGCCATCCATTGTATACTAGTGCCTAGCTGTGAATGGTCACAGCTAATCACATGCACATGTCATGTGATTAGCTGTGACCAAATCACAGCTAAGCACAAAAAAAAAAAAAAAAGCTGAATGAATCGATTTCATTCAAGTAAATGCTTGCTTATAGCAAAGTAATTGTTTGCTATAAGCAAATTGTGTAAAAAAAAAAAAAAAAAATACTGATCACTTCCCCAAAGTAGTACAATGTTACTATGGTAACATTGTACTACTTTGGTCATAGTAAAATATGAAAAAAAATCTTAAAAAAAAAATAAAAAAAAAGTAATAAAAAATAAAATATAATAAAAAAAATATATATATATATTTTTTTTTCATACTGTCACCAGTCAGTGTCCCTGTTCACCGCCATGCCAGTTATATGATGACGCTGTACTGCACTGGTGACAGTATGTAAAAAAAAAAAATAGTGAAAATAATTTTTTTCATTTTTTCATTTTCCAAAAAATTGACAAAAAAATACAACTTCAAAAAACTCGCCATGCCTCTTATGAAGTATGTCGGACTGTCTACTCTGCAAAAAGGGGTCATTTGGGGGATATCTGTACTGTTCTGACATTCTTGGACCTCAAGAAATTAGATTGGCCGTCAGTACTTCAGGATTGATCGATATTCAGATCTATACCATAGTTTGTGAACTCTAGAACTTTCCTAAAAACTAAAAAATACATCCTAATTTGGGTTATTTTCACCAAAGACATGTAGCAGAATAAATCTCGGCCTAAATTTATGAAGAACAATTATTTATTTGTAAACTTTTATAACAGAAACAAAGAAAAATGTTTTTTTTTCAAAATTTTTGGGCTTTTTTTGTTAATTTAGCAAAAAATAAAAACCCCAGCGGTGATTAAATACCACCAAAAGAAAGCTCTAGTTGTGTGAAGAAAATGATAAAATTTTAGTTTGGGTACAGTGTTGTATGACCGCGCAATTGTCATTCAAAGTGTGAGCGCTGAAACCTGAAAAATGGCCTGGGCAGGAAGGTGTAAAATTGCCCGGTATTGAAACGGTAAAAAAAAGGGAACATGCAGCGACTTTATTGCATAAAATGTCTCTTCTACATAAAAAATACACTCATCTGCCTGATCGCACGCTTTTTTGGAATGTACATCAAGTTTTGCAGCTCAGTTCACATTCTGGCACATCTCCTGTGTGCTGCAATGACTGCTCTCCTGTGCATATCTGGAAGTGAAGTCAACCCACGCTGGCCTAAGACCGGCACCTACAAGAAGCAGGGGAGATGATGCTGGCACCAGCGAGGGACTGGCAGGAGGAGTACGGTTGTAAATAAGGTACTTATTACTGCCTTTAGTTCAGCTTTAAGGCCCCATTCACACTGCCCCTACAACTGCCACACACTAAATTGCAGCGGCTTAGTGTGCTGAACCTGTCCATTCCAGCTGTAGCAGCCAGTGGTGTGAACGTTTCAGCGCATAATCGAGTTCCTTTTTTTTTTAACTGAACTTTATTCGAAGTGTAAAAAGTGACACTCCATTCATGTCACTGTACAGCAGCGTGGTGCCGCTGTACAGGGGGAGGGGATTTCAAACCTACACACCTGCATTCTGACCCAACAGTGAGTACCTGCAGGAACCCCAGCAATTACATGAAAGCGGGTGCAATTAGCTGCAGGAGTCGAACGCTTCTCATTGCTTTCAATGCGGCTGCCTCCTGCAGCTAATCGCTGGGACTCCCTGCTGGAATTCCCACAGGTACACACAATCAGGCCACAAAGCCGAGGTGAATGTGGCCTTAGACGAGGTTCACACTAGTGATGCTGCAAGATGATGCATTTTTTGTGTGTTTTTGTAGCACGACTGAGTATTTGACCCATTTCATGCTTTTTTTTTTTTTTGTGGAGGAGACTACTAGATTTTATGTATAAAACTCTGCCAAAGAATCAAACTAAACGCATGTACATGCATTTTACACACCTCTCTGGTGTGTTTCCGTTTAAGTCTATGGGACAAAAAATGTTCTGCAACTGCACCAAAGCAGTGTCTCCACCTTTTCAAAACTACACGTGACAAGGCACCATAGAGAATAAAGTGATTTCCACTGTGTGCATGCCAGTGTGACAGCAAGCATGGGAGAAGACACACTAGTGTGAACGGGGGCTAAACATTCATATGAGGAGACCTGTCCTCACCTCAGCACCCAGAGCCCCGTTCACACTGGTGCACTTTTGCCACACTAGAAACTGCACATCTACCACACGTTTATACTTATTCTATCTGCATTTGTCCTGTGAAGTCACTTCCCTAGGGCTTCTATGTGCACTACAGTACGTTTACGTATGTTACATGCATTTTGGTCGTTTGCAGTGTGGAAAAATGCAGCCTGTTCTACCTTTTTTTTGTTTTTCTGCACTGGTGTGAACTATGCCCATAGGATAGCCTAGAATTTGGACTGTAAGCAGTTGGAGTGCAGTTAAAAATGCACGTAACTGCACCTAGTGTGAAAGGGCCCTAAAACGCACCTTCCCAGAGTAGCAAAAGCACATGAAAATGATTATTGTTGTTATACAGGATTGATATCATGCCAGCAGTTTGCTCAGCTCATTACAAAATGAAGGCAGACATTACAGTTACAATACAATTTGGTACAAGAGGAAACAGAGGGCCCGGCTCGTTACAGATTACATCCTAACTGTTCACATCTGTGCATCTAGAGGGCCCTGCCTGAAAACTGCACCTTCCACAATACTCCGTGGACACACACCATGCATTTTAAGTGTGTTTTGTGAGTCACACGTCAATTTTTTCTCAGTTGACCAGAGATGCAAACATGGTACTTCTTGCTGTAACATGTTAACGCCATGCATGCAAGCCTGGGTCACACCTATTCGCTTTTCAGTGCGTTTTCACTTTGGAGAATTGCACTCCAGTCCATTTAACATGGTTTCCTATAGATCACGTTCACATCTGCAATTTCCAACCTGTGCGTTTTTTGGAAAGTCAGGGACTTCCCCCCCCCCCCCCACAGCAGATTGTTTTTAATTCTGTAGACCTCAATGAAAATGTAGCAGAAACGCATAAAAATGCAGTGCTTGCATTTTGTGTTTTTGTTGCAAAAATGTGTCAACAGCACTCTTTGCATTTTTTTTTTCTTTGTATTTTTTTTTTTTTCTTTGCATTTTCCTCAACGTTTCCCACACAACAGTGTAGGGCAGCCCATTGAAAGCCCCAAAGTAGCCCCCGCACCCCTTTTGGCAGATGATTTGGTGCTTTTTTGCATATTTCATGTGACAATATTTTGTAATGTGTTTTGGGTGATATTAGGCGTGCATGGTCCATAAACATGCACATTCCGCATTTTGTTCATTTTTCACATTTCTGCTCCATTGCAGTGTGATCCGGGCCTAACACTGCCGCCCCTCTGCACATGAACAACACAGACATTGGGGGGAAACTGCTAGAGCAGCTCTGCATAGTAACCAATCAGCTTCCAGGTTTTATTGTCAAAGCTTTATTACACATTGTGAAGGCAGAAGCTGATTGGCTGCAATGCACAGCTGCACCAGGTTTAGTAAATGTCCCCGGTCACCCCAGCAGCTGACACAGGGAGAGATGTGTGTGTTGTGACTGGGGGTGGAGGTGAGCCCTGGGCTTGGAGGCAGCCCCCATTCATTCGGCCCCGCAGGCCTCGTCCATTCCGCAGTTCTCCCTCCTCACCTGCACATCCTCATTCCTCAGCTCGTCGATCAGCACCGCGATAGGATACAACGAGTCGTCTCCGTCAGCTCCAGCCATCCCGACACCGGCTTTTGCTTCTCTGTCTTCGCCCACTTCACCAGGCCCGCTTCCGCCTCAGACACACACAGGGAGCGGAGGAGGGGCTGTTCTCGGAAGTGACGTACCGGGCGAGGTCGGAATGCACAAGGAAGGTATGGGAACGCTGCTCATGTGTGGACACGCCCACCTACGGCTGTAGAGCGTCGCCAGTGCGGCGGATGAGTGGGAGCGTAGTGCGCATGTGCAGAGTCTTGCGTGCGTTCTGCAGTGGTGTGTGTGTCAGTGCTGGGATTCGGGCTGTAGTTTAGGACAGGTTGGGACGTGAACACTTCTGCTTGTCTGTTCTGAAGGGGGGAGTGCAGTGATCCCTGACAGCAATGCTACTGGCTGTAAAGAAGATTGCTGCCAGCCTCCCCACGTGACAAGATGCAAAACAATTACTGACACACATTTTTACTGACTGTCCAAACAGTTGGCTAAAATTACCATTTTCAGTGCAAATATCGACATTTAAGGTACAAACATTCAGCTAGTGAATACTAATGTGCTTAGGGTATAACAAAAGGCAAAAACCAGATTTCTCCTTTTATATGAAGGTCAGGGTAGTATAACACGGCACAGAGTTCCCCCTTGCATCAGAGTCTGCAGGGTTCCCCTTTACAGTGCAAGGGGGAACTCTATGGTCCCTGATATAAAGGAGAAATCTGTGGAGTCGGATGTTAAGCGGATGCTGCAGATTCTGATGTAAGGCGGTGTCTCGTCACCAGAGGACCCCCTTATACAAAAGTCCACAGAGTTCCCCTTACATCAGACTCCAGAGTTCCCCTTCATGTCACAGTCCACAAAGCTCCCTTACATCAGAGTTCCCCTTCACGTCACAGTCCACAAAGCTCCCTTACATCAGACTCCAGAGTTCCCCTTCACGTCACAGTCCACAAAGCTCCCTTACATCAGAGTTCCCCTTTACATCAGAGTTCCCCATAACGGCACAGTCCACACAGCTCCCTTACATCAGACTCCAGAGTTCCCCTTCACGTCACAGTCCACAAAGCTCCCTTACATCAGAGTTCCCCTTCACGTCACAGTCCACAAAGCTCCCTTACATCAGAGTTCCCCTTTACATCAGAGTCCACATGGTTCCCTTTTATTTATTGATTGATTACAGGTACTTTTATAATGCAGTTAATTTTACGCAATGCTTTACACATACAGTATATTGTACTTTCACATCAGTCCCTGCCCTCAAAGAGCATACAATCTAAGGTCCCTAATTCACATTCATACTTACGTATACTAGGGCCAATTTAGCCATGAGCAATTAACCTACCAGCATGTCTTTGGAGTGTGGGAGGAAATTGGAGTACCCAGAGGAAACCCACGCAGGCACAGGGGGAAAACTCCAGGTAGGTAGTGTTGTGGTTGGGATTCCCTCTTACAGTGTAAGGGGGAACTCTGCGGACCCTGATGTAAAAGGGAATGCTGCAGATCTTGATGTAATGGGGTCTCTGTGCACCAGCCCCTCCTTCCTTACACAAGAGTCCACAGAGTTCCCCCTTACATCAGAGTCTGCAGGAATCAGGATTCCCCTTTACAGTACAAGAGGGAAGTGGGATGTGGACCCTGGACGTAAAGGGGGACTCTGATGTAAAGGGAAATGCTGCGGACCATGATGTAAGTGGGAAGGCTGCGGACTCTGGTGTAAAGGGGAATGCTGATATAAGGTGTTCTCTTGTCACCCCCTTACATTAGAGTCTGCACCATGATGTTACTGCGCAAACGTCCCACTGCCCTAGCCCGACCAAGCTCTGCCAGCTTTGGAACTGTGTATGTGCAGTTCTGAAGCTGGCCTGTGGCCATATTTTTATGGGCAACCACTATCTGTAACAGACATTTGTGAGCAGTTTGTATGTAGCCTGTAAATGTATTTTGTTGACAACCCTGATTGCTGTATAAATGGTGACAACATTAAAAGTAGAATTAAAGTGTTTCTAAACCCAGGACCCTGCATTCACTATATCTGGTCTCCCACAGTACACAGAACATGAAATGCAATTATTTTAGTAAACATAAACTGCTAAATACCTTTTCTCATCAGCAGTTAGAGCAGTCTTGTGACTTCTATCAGTGTCCAGCAGAGCACTGGTCGCATCTTGTAGGAGGAGTTTTCTTTCTACTCTAGGAGGATGCAGGACCCCTGACCTCTGTCTGGAGAGTGCTGATTGGCCCTGTGCTGATCACATGCACTCTACCAAGAAAAAAAAACCTCATCAATACAAAAAAACTGAGCGTGTGCAGCTTGTCCCCAAGGCTCTGTTCTATCAGGAGATAGGAGAGTGACACTGGCTGAAGGGGAGGATCAGAGAAGTCAAGATCAAACATTCCTTTTTACACAATGTGGAGGATTAACCCCTTACATTCCACAGTGAGTATAACAAGCATGCTTTACTGCATATACAGACTGGTTTAACTGTTGTGGGTTTAGTAATATTTTAAGGGAAAACTTTTTTTTCATTTTGGATAGAGAATGGAAGAGTTATAACTCCTGTCAGGTTTTTTTCTGTGTCCCTTTGTGGAGATTTCCCTTCACTTCCTGTACTATAGCCAAAACAGGAAGTGAGCAGAAATCCCTCCAAATTGAGGGTAGCACCAGGATCACCAGGACTAGTGTCCCCCAAAGCCCCCCTCCCCCCATAACACCAATATGAGATTGCACCAAGCATTACTGGTGACAGAAGCATCTCTTCCAGAGAGTTGATGCAGCACAGTCTTACAACTTCTGCTCCAGATTACAGGCAGCTTTTGTGGGTGCTGGCTGTAGAGGAAGGGAAGGGGGACACAATGGATTCCCTGTAGTTACACCTACCTCTGTGCACAAAGAACACTGCGTCCTGCAGGCATTCGGGTTGAGGATTGTTTTAAGGTATGGGTTAAGGGTTACATTTTGGGGCCTCAAGTGCTGGGGCTCACTTTGCGTGTTTAGCTTAGTGTATATAAGCATGGTGGTGGTGGTGTGTGGGGGGGGATTTAATGTTAGAGGGTACATTACTGTTAGGGCTCATTCACACCAGAGACCGGGGGCAGTAAAAGCAGGCAGCTGACCATCCACGTAAACAAAGTAATGCAGCTGCTCAGGTCTGTATTCATGCCATGGAAAGCATTTGTTAGGAGGTACCACCTTCGAACATGACCCATTCAATTTAATAGGGCCACGTCTCAACTGCCCTGCAACCGCGAGCAATGCATGTGGTTGAGGTGCAGTGGTTTGGCATTTTAAGGGTTAAAGTACATGGTGAGGAGTTGACATATCATCTCCTCACCACCTGGCAAAGTCCTCTGAAAAGCTCTCCACTGCAGAGGGGCAGCAGTCTAGCTACGTGCATGCATGAAGATGCCCTTAGGAACAATTTGCATTATAGGGACAGCTATGGGAACTGCAGGGTCACACTTTAATCCTACTACTCCACACCGAAAACTAACAGCATCTATAGCAGAGGTCTCCAAACTTTCTAAACAAAGGGCCAGTTTACTGTTCTTCAAAATTTAGGGTGGCTGGACTGTGGCCAGTACGAGTAGAAATGGTCTTGACATCAATGGGAAAAAACACAATCTTTGGTGTCATTGGGAGGAATTGTGCCCCATTATCAGTGACAGTGGGAGGGATTGTGCCTCATTGTTGGTGTAAGTGGAAGGCATTTTGCCCCATCGCTGGTGTCAGTGGACCGCATTGTTGGTGTCATTGGGAGAAATTGTGTCCCATTGTTGGTATCATTGGGAGGAATTGTGCCCCTTCATTGGTGTTATTGGGCCCTATTGTTGGTGTCATTGCGAACAATTGTGTCCCATCATTAGTGTCATTGGGAAGAATTGTGCCCCTTCATTGGTGCCAGTGGAGGGAATTATGCCCTATTGTTGGTATCAGTGGATGAAATAATGCCCCAAGTGCTGGATAAAAGCAAGCAAAGGGCCACATCTGGGCCCCGGGCTGCAGTTTGGTGACCACTGATCTAGGGTTAAATGATAAGTTCACCTTTAGGCTACATTCACACTGAGCTGAGCGGTTTTGATGTGTTTTTTCAAGCATTTTTTTCAGGTGCTTTTGAACATTTTTTTTTTTTAGCAGATTTGCAAATATTATATGCATTTTTTTCAGGCATTTTCAATTCAGGCATTTTTGCTTTGGCCAACAGAAATAGCTGCTGTTTGAGCTGAAAACGCCTGATAAAACGCTTGTAAAAATGCTCATTCCCAATGTTCAGGTGTTTTCTATTCAAGTCTAAGGGAATAAAGTGCTCAGATCTGCCTGAAAAGTACTTTTTTGAGCGACAGACATTTTGCTACAGGTGACAGAATGCTCAAGTGTGAACAGGGGCCATTGAAAATAATGGGATTTTACTTGTTGAGTGTTTTTGAGTGTTGAGCTTTGAGCTGAAAAATGCTCAAGTGTGAACGGGGTCTTACACAAAAAATAATAAATGCACATTGTTTTGCTGGTAAAAAAATGTGCATTTATTATTTTTTGTGTTAGGTGCTTTGTAGGTCTCCTGTAGCCTGTCAATATATCTGCTTGCTCATACATCCCATACTAAGAAGCCAATACTTTTGACAGGAAGAATCAATTAACTACCACAGCGCTCACAGTGCCATGGTAATTCATTGAGAACTACAAGGCAAGAGCCATTAAAGCTGTTGGGACCTGTAGTCCATTCATTCACAGAGGACTGTGAATGAATGATGCGGCCGTGTGGGCAGAGCTTTTGAAAAGTGACAGTATGGGGAACTTCTCCCCGTATTTCTGTCACAGGAAGGGGGGCAGGAGCAGGAACATGTTACACCCTAAAAGCAGGTGAATCATGTAACATGTTCCCAAAGGTGAAGTTATCCCTTAACATACCAATAGAAAATAGTTGTCTACGAGATGGGTGTTATGTCATATGGCCATTTTGGATGTAAGTGTGTAGGAATTCTTTGGTGCAGTGTACATTGCCCACAAATAGGCTAAAAAGTCATGTTTTCCTACC